GACCGGGCTTACTTGCAATATCATATGAACGACTTTTCTGGGTTCCTTCGTCGAAGGGTTAGAAGCTCCTTCAAGTGGGATCGCATCAGAAGCTGCATTAGCCAAACCAACGTGTGTGCTCAGCTCAGCCAGAGTTACAGAATGGCCGAGGACTTCTTCGACGCACATCTAACGCCCATGCAGGTAAATGCTTCTGATGAAAATTAGGTGAAAGTTCAATGCTTTTATTATGTCTCAACCAAACTAACCTTATACCTTTATTCCAACATGTTTAAAAACAACATGGCTTTGGTTTGAAGCATTTGTTCTTAAACTTTTTTCAAGTTACCTTAATTTTACATTTTTGTTGGTTGGATCATTTGCAGTCAGGGTGCTGCAGGCCACCAACACAATGTGGGTATACTTTTGTGAATCCAACCTATTGGATTAGAGCGTTCAACCTTGCAGCAGATATGGATTGCCTGCAATGGAGCAACGATCAAACACAACTTTGCTACAACTGTGACTCGTGCAAGGGTGGTTTATTGGCTAATCTTAGGAAGGAGTGGAAAAGGGCCAATGTGATATTAATCATCACAGTCATTGTTCTAATTGTGGTGTATTTGGTAGGGTGCTGTGCTTTTAGGAATGCCAAAACTGAGGACCTCTTCCGCAAATACAAACAGGGGTATACTTGAGAAGGATCAATGTGTTTTAGTTGAAGTTAGTGGTAAAGTTTCTTCTTGGCTACTTAGTTTAAATCAACTATTTGAGTCCGTGTTTTGAAAGACATGCTTGTATGAATTTGTCTCTTGCACTTATTTTAGCAGAAAAAAGATGGTTGGTTTTATATGGGATGGGTTAAAGGTTGAAACTTGATCATATAAGGTGTTAAGAGGTGAGCGTGATTTGTGGAGAAGAGCACCGAAAGCTGAATACTCGACTACCGAGGCACCAATTAAATTGGCCTGGAATCATTTTAAAATGTATACTACCACCTTCGAGGCATTTTGGCGCTCCAAAAGTGCACCTTTTCAAATTCAAATCAACTTTAATTAATTCAAGTTCCCAATCATTTCAGAAAGGATTTATATTTTAGCGGAATTTGTATTTTTAGATGAAACATTGGACATTATAGTCTGTATTTTTAGATAAACATTGGACATTTGCATTTGAGGATTGATAGTCATGATCCTTTAATTTTAAGAAAAGGACTTTTACATTCATTTTCGTGAAAGTATATGATTACTGCAATCATATATTCAAAGCCGTTTACCATCATAGTCTCAAGTCAAGACACCTGAAATGAACATGAAATAATATAAAATTGTAACGACACTAATTCTTTCTATTGATATTTATCTTACATTTTCTTCTTAATATTAAAGGATCACGAATATATGTTTGTTAGTCTAACTTTTAACGTTATCAAGAAGGCAAATACTATTCGATAAAATATGCCTTTGTTCAAGAAGAGATCTAGATGAGAGGAAAGAGGTTATCTTTAATCTACTGGAGGAAGAACATATTGTTTTTCCTATAACGGAGAATGTCAGAGAGTTATGACAAAAGAGTCTCGGCCTCATTATCAAGGATTATTATTGCTTCACTAGTACACTAACAGAATATGACACCGGTTACTTTTGGTTATAGGTACCGGTTCTACAACCGGTGTATATACCAGCGAGGTAAAAAAAGGTAGATTTTATGCCTCGGTTGTGAACTGGGTTAAAAAAGATAGAATTTATGCCTCGGTTTTTGAATAACCGAGGCAGTAACGTGTTTGTTTTTTAATTTTTTCCACCAGCCTCTGAGCCTCTGTTCCTGGAACTCTCAAGCAGAAACCCAAAAATTGAACAGTCAAAAATTTGAAGTGAACAAGCAGATTCAGATACCAAAAATTGAAATAAAAATTGAATCAGGAAATAGGGAACAAGCAGATTGATTGTTCTTGTGATCTTCATCACAGATGAATGTTTTTGAATCAGCAATACATGAATCCTGTTCAAATCCCTAACCCCCAATCCAGTCAAAACCCCTTCAAATCCCTAACCCCCAAATCCAATCAAAANCCTAATTTCTCTAATTTTCCCAATTTCGCAGATTTCCCCAACTTTGAAGACACGAGCTACCTAACCCCAAAATAGGAAACATTGTTTTGGTTTGGTTTAATGAGTTATAATTAAACCACTAAAATTCATTTAGCTTTTATTTTATTTGTGAATGATATAAAAATGTTATAAATCCACCTATACAGCTGAAAAGGATGCCACCTAGATGCCTTAGCTTGCCACTTGATAACAAAGATAACATCGTTAACTCCATTTAACGATGATCCTATTATTGAATCAGATTGACCAAATTAGGGACTCAATTGATCAGTTTCATAATTGGAGGATCCAATTGAAACAAACCCGCAAATATAGGGACCTCCGAACCTATTAAACCAATCTTTTAAAATACAAAGACACAGTAGAAGTGATTCGAAAGAGGAAGAAGAAGAATGTGAACATAAGTGAAAGTCTTTATGATACGTGAGAAAAGTCAACACGGATGCAGAGAAAAGCCGGAGAAGTCATGATAAACAGATTCTTTTGTTGATGCTGTCTATGACCTACACTCTACAATAGATTGCAGATTGCTGGCAACCACTTTCTTGTTTCCCTCTTTTTTTTTTTTTTACCTTTTTTTTGTCTCCATCTGTACTGTTTACAAGACATCACTTTTCAAAAAGTTATGCTCCCAGTCTCAGGGATTCCCCACACTTCTAAAACATATTATCTCACCATTATGTAACTTGGCTTTTGTTCTAATAATGTATCCAAGGTTCCTCCAACCCTCCTTCACTCACTCCAGTTCGTTTTTCATCATCTTCTAGTTATTCGTGAAACAAACAAACCCGGAAACATTTCTCCTACCAAGATGGCAGCGAGCAACAATGTGATTGTATGCATAAACCTCGTGGCCGTGATCCTCTCAATCCCAATCATCGGTGCCGGAATCTGGCTATCAAACGGCCAAGCAGATTCCTGCGTCCAGTTTCTGCAATGGCCCGTCATCATCCTCGGAGTTCTCATCTTGGTGGTGGCTCTCGCAGGTTGCATTGGAGCCTTTTTCAGAATCACGTGGCTCCTCATAGTGTACCTCGTTGTCATGCTCGTGCTGGTGATACTGCTAGTGTGTTTGGTGGGCTTTGTTTACAAGGTCACGCTTCGAGGTCATGGCAACATTGAAGCTGACCGGGCTTACTTGCAATATCATATGAACGACTTTTCTGGGTTCCTTCGTCGAAGGGTTAGAAGCTCCTTCAAGTGGGATCGCATCAGAAGCTGCATTAGCCAAACCAACGTGTGTGCTCAGCTCAGCCAGAGTTACAGAATGGCCGAGGACTTCTTCGACGCACATCTAACGCCCATGCAGGTAAATGCTTCTGATGAAAATTAGGTGAAAGTTCAATGCTTTTATTATGTCTCAACCAAACTAACCTTATACCTTTATTCCAACATGTTTAAAAACAACATGGCTTTGGTTTGAAGCATTTGTTCTTAAACTTTTTTCAAGTTACCTTAATTTTACATTTTTGTTGGTTGGATCATTTGCAGTCAGGGTGCTGCAGGCCACCAACACAATGTGGGTATACTTTTGTGAATCCAACCTATTGGATTAGAGCGTTCAACCTTGCAGCAGATATGGATTGCCTGCAATGGAGCAACGATCAAACACAACTTTGCTACAACTGTGACTCGTGCAAGGGTGGTTTATTGGCTAATCTTAGGAAGGAGTGGAAAAGGGCCAATGTGATATTAATCATCACAGTCATTGTTCTAATTGTGGTGTATTTGGTAGGGTGCTGTGCTTTTAGGAATGCCAAAACTGAGGACCTCTTCCGCAAATACAAACAGGGGTATACTTGAGAAGGATCAATGTGTTTTAGTTGAAGTTAGTGGTAAAGTTTCTTCTTGGCTACTTAGTTTAAATCAACTATTTGAGTCCGTGTTTTGAAAGACATGCTTGTATGAATTTGTCTCTTGCACTTATTTTAGCAGAAAAAAGATGGTTGGTTTTATATGGGATGGGTTAAAGGTTGAAACTTGATCATATAAGGTGTTAAGAGGTGAGCGTGATTTGTGGAGCAGAGCACCGAAAGCTGAATACTCGACTACCGAGGCACCAATTAAATTGGCCTGGAATCATTTTAAAATGTATACTACCACCTTCGAGGCATTTTGGCGCTCCAAAAGTGCACCTTTTCAAATTCAAATCAACTTTAATTAATTCAAGTTCCCAATCATTTCAGAAAGGATTTATATTTTAGCGGAATTTGTATTTTTAGATGAAACATTGGACATTATAGTCTGTATTTTTAGATAAACATTGGACATTTGCATTTGAGGATTGATAGTCATGATCCTTTAATTTTAAGAAAAGGACTTTTACATTCATTTTCGTGAAAGTATATGATTACTGCAATCATATATTCAAAGCCGTTTACCATCATAGTCTCAAGTCAAGACACCTGAAATGAACATGAAATAATATAAAATTGTAACGACACTAATTCTTTCTATTGATATTTATCTTACATTTTCTTCTTAATATTAAAGGATCACGAATATATGTTTGTTAGTCTAACTTTTAACGTTATCAAGAAGGCAAATACTATTCGATAAAATATGCCTTTGTTCAAGAAGAGATCTAGATGAGAGGAAAGAGGTTATCTTTAATCTACTGGAGGAAGAACATATTGTTTTTCCTATAACGGAGAATGTCAGAGAGTTATGACAAAAGAGTCTCGGCCTCATTATCAAGGATTATTATTGCTTCACTAGTACACTAACACAATATGACACCGGTTACTTTTGGTTATAGGTACCGATTCTACAACCGGTGTATATACCAGCGAGGTAAAAAAGGTAGATTTTATGCCTCGGTTGTGAACTGGGTTAAAAAAGATAGAATTTATGCCTCGGTTTTTGAATAATCGAGGCAGTAACATGTTTGTTTTTTAATTTTTTCCACCAGCCTCTGAGCCTCTGTTCCTGGAACTCTCACGCAGAAACCCAAAAATTGAACAGTAAAAAATTTGAAGTGAACAAGCAGATTCAGATACCAAAAATTGAAATAAAAATTGAATCAGGAAATAGGGAACAAGCAGATTGATTGTTCTTGTGATCTTCATCACAGATGAATGTTTTTGAATCAGCAATACATGAATCCTGTTCAAATCCCTAACCCCCAATCCAGTCAAAACCCCTTCAAATCCCTAACCCCCAAATCCAATCAAAACCCCATTGAAATCCCTAACCCCCAAATCGGATGACCAACAACCGCAGAGACGCTTTACCGTGACCACCACTAGCACCAGAAGAGGGCTGGACCGGAAGGGGGCTGGACCGGGTGGAGTGAGATCTGAGATCGCGTCCGGTGGTGGAGTGAGATCTGAGATCGCGTCACGGGTTGGGGTTGCAAGGTGGGATGCAGCCATGGCTTTGGGCAGCGAAAACGGAGCGGCA